TAATTTACTGCTCAACCTCTACCTATATTATGGACTGGCAATTTCCATTTCATTGTATCTGAATTAGTAATCCTAAATATTCATGTTAACACACCCAATACCCCATTCTCAATGCTGTTAATAGTCTAATAATTTCCAACTTTTATTTTTGTGTGACAGCTCCTTTTACATAAGATACTACCTAAACTGTTAGTGTTGAAAGTAAAAAAAAATCATGAAGGATTGGGAAGACAGTATCTTAAGAATTTCGTTTGGAAAGGCTTAAATGTCCCAGTGCTTGCTGGGATGAGTAGATCTTGTATCTAGACAGTTGGAGAGGGTAAAAATATTAAAACCTTTTTGGAGGGTAATCTTTTTCACAAAGTGGTTTTATTAGGAAGAGCAACAATTTATCACTAAGGCATTTCTACATGATATAAGCAGAGCATTGTTCATGAGGACAATTTCAGATTGTGAACATAGCCTTTTATTTAATAGAAATGATTTCTGAGAGTGCGTGGTGACAGCTGTTACTGAAGGACAAGGTACCTGAAGTTGGGTTGCTAGCCAGCAGCTGGGAAACGGAAGGGGTTTGGGCGGGTGGGGGACATGAGGAGCACCATTGGGCAACAACATTACCTTACTTCTGAGAAAACCCTGAAAGTGACATCCCGTTGCTCTAGGAATCACCAGATACCAGAGTTTCCAGTCATTCCTAGAGAGAAGTGGTATCACTTCCAGGGTTTCCTCAGAAGTGACCTAAGGCCATCATTCAACAGTGATTTTTTAAATTTTCCCCCCCTCCTGCCATTGACCAGAGTGCCAGCAGTGCCCACCCTCTGTGCAAGGGTGTAGACTTTCCAATTTCCCGGGGGGGGGGGGGCTGGGGCTGGGCCAGAGGCATTGCTTTGCTAGGAGCAAGGGTGGCTCCCGGGGGAGGCTGAGCACCTTCCTGAAAATTTCGGCGGGGGCTGAAGCCCCGCTGCCCCCACGAAGATTACGCCTATGCCTCTGTGGGCAGATGGCAAGCCTAACTTGGCCTACATCTACTTGCACACACACACACACACACAATGTATGATACATGGATTCTAGAAGCTCTACCATTGCAAATGCATAGAAGAATTAGGATGAACAAATGTTTGTTTTTTCTTGAAGAAACTAGAGGGAACTCAGTTTTTCACATTACAGTAAATCTGCATTCTTCTAGCTTTTGCTCTCTCTCTCTCTCTCTCTCTCAATCATACAAACACACACACACACCATTAGAACCTGTTTTATTGTTTGATATGCCTCCAGTTTCAAGAGGGTGTTTTACCTCAGGCACGAATACTAGTTAAATATGTTCCATTGTATATTCATAGCTCCATCAGTCCTCCTCCAATTTAGTACATCAAAGCAAAGGCTTCATCACTTGCATGTGGATTATAGGAACATGAGTGACATTTGTAATCTTATAGGACTGCAACTTAAGAAATGCTTTTAAGCTTGCTATTAAATAGGTAGCTGTGCTTTAAGAACTAGTCACATAATAGTTTATTTAAAGTCTTTAATGAACTTCAGACTCTTCATCACTAAATGCCACACTATATTACTTACTGAAAAATTATTAGCCATCATCTTAGTACTACTAGGTTATATTAGACAACTGTAAACCTGATATGTACAGCTTTCTTTAACAGCAGCAGGATGAGTGCTTATAGCCTGAATGAATTTTAAAAGGCTATCTCCAGCAGCACTGATGGGAGCTTTATATTCCTCAGAAGATCTTCTCAAAGGAATTCAGACAGCATAATTCACAGAACACTAATGCTAGCCTGAGCACTTTAAAGGGGAATATTTTTAGGGTTCACAGCTGGAACTATCTAAAGTTGCTCTTTATCTCATTCCTTGGTCTCTGGGTTATGATCAGAACCCCCCTCTCTTTACACTGGAAGTGCTCAACAGAGAAGTATTTATTTGCTAAACCACAGAAGAGACCACCATATACCTATGGTATTTTTTCTTCTTAAAACATAAGCAGCTTACAAATGTGTATCTGCTTATTCAAGATGAAACATAGTGGTTTCAGGCTGCATGAATATACTTTGCTCTTCCTTCTCCTTTGGGTCAAAGTCAATTAGTGACTTTCAATTAAGCACAAACTATGTATTAGCATTACATTTTAACTAGTTTATGAACTCCTCTCAAACTGGAATTGCACTCAGTGATTTGAGGTTTGAAAACTGGGGGGAGGGAGATTGGAACATAAGCCATAGTTTGGTGGTTCAGATGCTACACTGATACATGTTTTTTAGTGTGGTACAGTGGACAGAGGTGTCAGGTTAGGGCAGGCCCATAGCCAGGATTTTGTAATTCAGGGGGCCTTTAAATAAGTCAGGGGGCACTGAGGTCACAAAATTAAAAAATAAAATTTAAATTTAAAAATCACTTTTGCAGCATTCGCACTCTGCTTGCCTACATGGGGAAGCAAGCCACGCTTGGGGAAGGGGCAATGGTGGGGAGTCCTCCAGGTGGTCCAAAGGGTTGGGAGTCCTCTAGGTGGCCCAGAGAGCCGGGGGCTGGATGGAAGTTGGGGGGGCTTGGCAGGAAGTCAGGGGGCCAGGCCCCGAAATGCCCCACTGTAGCTACGGGCCTGGGTTAGGGTGTGGTAGAAGCAGGTTTGAATGGAAGCTCGCTAGGTGAACATGGGCTAGTCACACAGCCTACTGCACAGGGTTCCTGACAGGATTAAAATTGAAGAGAGAACACTATAAACCACTTTGGATCCCAACTGGGGAGAAAGGCAGGGTATAAATGAAATAAATTCTCTGGTTACTCATCAACTTTGACCTTAGAGAAGAGATGATGAATAAGCACACGACAGTACACACACACCAATGAAATTGGTATAACCACAGTATTACATTATTAGTGTTCCAAAATTGTGTTTTTTAAAAAAAATTATATGACTATCTACTTTAGTGCATTTAAAGATCTTTTATTTTAGAATTCACCAGTTTTCCTTTTGTAAACAGTGGTATTTTCTTTTTTGCTTTTATACTTATTTAGTGGGATTTACCTATTTTCTTCTCCTAGCAAAAGGTATAATGGCTGTTTCTCACACCAGTCTTTTTTTACTGCTACCTATTCAGTATCTTTTGAGAAATCAAACTCAATGCCTTCCTTGCATGGATGCAGGATTACACACAACTACATCATAGGTGTATCAACTCATGACCCCAACACTTGATTTGCAGAACTGCAGTGTTCACTGGGACTCTGAAGTTAGTCATTTACCATGTAGCTCCAAACCCGTTGCTCCCTGTATTAGTTGTCTGTTGGGTGTTATCTGTTAAATCAACATATCCCACAACTGTGAACTATTAATGAAGGCTTCCAGGCAACATTCAGAGCCATTACTAAACAGATATCTATAAATCACATGTGCTAATGCTCATAAGAAATGTCCACTGTTATTATAGGAAATAAAGTACTTTTCATGTCCAAACTTGACACTATTAAGAAGACCCAGCTTATTCCTAAGAATTCATTATGTGCCTTTAAAGTCTTTTCCACTGCAGCAAGAAAGCTGTCTCTCCCTACCTCTACAGAAGTCTAATAGTTCCATATTAATTTCCGAGGAAGACATTTCTAATCCTTCCACTGCAAAACTTGATTACCCATGACTCCCTCTAAAATATGTATCTTGACCATACCCATCACCCACAGAACGGGAACCATTTTTTGTAAACAAGTAAATGCAGTTCTCTCATCCCAACAGGAGTGCTGATATATAATGCCAGAGATTCTCTCTGAAATGCTTTTAGACAGGTACACACGAACCTGCTTTACACTGAATTAGACATCAAAGACTGTATTGCCAACTCAGATTGGGTTTCCAAGATATCAGGCAGATGTCTTACACATCACCTATTACCTACCTTGAGATGCTGGGAATTGAACCTAGGACCTTTTGGATGCCAAGCAGATACTCTACTGCTGAGCCATGGCCCCTCCCAGTAGAAGATCTACAGTGTTTCCAGTTTGTATGTCCTACTTGCCCTGACCTGGGTAGCCAAGGTTAGTGTGATCTCATCAGATCTTAGAAGCTAAGCAGAGACAGCCCTGGTTAATAATACCCGGATAAGAGACCACCAAGGAATTCCAATCAGCTATGACTTGAGGGCCAAAAAAATGCCCTGCCTTACAACACAGAGTCGGGGCATGTGTAGTTGGATGCCTTCCTTGGAAGCATATTCTGTTTGACAGGCATTTGCTTTGATGCCTAGGTTCTTGGGTATTTTACCCATGTCTGTAAATAAGTTAACTAGATGCAGTGTAAGTGTTCTCCTTGTATCTCACCTTTCTGAATAGACCTTTTGTTAAAAAAAACAACCCTCAGGGTTATGCTACTTTTATACCAGTGCAGTAGTGGAATGGCCACATAGTGAAGGAATAAACATCAGACCACAAAAGGGCATGAAGGATGTTGTTAGTGCCATCCAAACACATCAGCCATAAGAACAAAATTTCTGCCTGGGTAGGTGATGATGTACTGTAAATAAAAACACAGTTTTAACCTGTTCTAGAAATCCAGAAGAGTTTTAACTTGGCAACTTGCCAATTCCAAGACAGATGCATTCTTGAATTTACACAATACTAACATTAATGCTAGAAAGGCACATTCATACACACATTCTGTTAAAGTCAAGGTAACTTAGCCTGAGGAGAGCCACAAAGTTAATCACAATGAGAATTCAGCTAATGAAATATTGCTGTTATTTGAATAACTACTTGAAACATTAGAGAACACATACTCTGCCTGAAGTGACATTAATGTTGAGTTCTGTGAATTCCTTATTGACAGAAGGCAGGAAACAATAGTTTTAAAATTAAACTCTTGGAAGTTAAAATATAAAACTTCATAGGCAAAAGTGCTTTTTTTGCCGCATCACATTCAAGTCCAAACTCAAAGACATTTTCATTTTAAGTTTTTATTATTTAAATACACCATACTAGAGCAAATGTCTCTGAAAGTATCACAAATAAAAGATTTTTTTTCTTCATTCAGCAAATTAGGAATAGGTGAAAATTTCTACACAGTAGCTGCTATGAGCTTTTTTTTTTCCTTTTTCTTTTTTGCCATGGGAAGTAGCAACATTAGGACAAAAAACACTTACATGCATACATACATTGTATTTTACAGAGATACAATAAAAGTCATTTGTGATATAGTATCACAAGAGCCCCATCTTTTCTTTTAGCTCATGTTTTGAGTTTTGAAACACATTTCCTTACAACACTTAAATATACAAAGAGCAAAGAGAATGTTGTTAAGGTAAAACACAGGGTACAAATTCCGGCCAGTGCCCTGCTAATTGTTAATGAGGGTAGAAAGCAGACTTGAAGGCTTACTTTAATTAGCTTCATTAGTCATTTTCCCCACCCCCTCCCCACCCAAAGTTGTCGTCCTCCGGTGGAGTCTTTTCTCTCTCTCCATTTTCTCTACAGTCTCCCATTAGCCCAGATTCATGGAGTCCTTAATGTTCGCTTTCAGTCATTTTAATACACCAATAAATGTGGGAAGGGCAACCAAGAGTAAAGAAGGTGCAATGGCATGAAGCTGGCATTGATGCTAGCTACAAAGGTGACTTGTCTACTGGAGACATGGGATCCATCTGTGATGAACAAAGTTTGAGATGAAGGCACGCATTCTGCAGTACTCTGACCTTTTAGCAGACCTGCAAGAAATAAAAAAAAAATGGGCATCTTAACCAAAACGCTTGTTTTGAGCCAAACGTGACCACTCTTGCCTTCTCCTGATTTGTTAATTTTATTAGGTTACTTTCCAACTGTGACTCAATAAAAGGTTTTCTCTGTAATACTTGTACAAGCCCCTAAAGTGCTCGGATGGGAAAAAATAGACCACAAAAATAATTTTATGCAGCTTTGACAGCAAAATACACTTTCACAAAAGAGAGAAAAGCTTCTGGTGGGAAATCCTCCAGTCAATTTGGGGGGGGGGCGGATTTTTATTTTTATTGGACAGGGATGAAATGACATGCCTTGCCTTTGAAGCACCAAGTAAAGTGATCTTCTAAATTAGGAAAATTCTGTCTAAAGCAAATAAGATACCCTCCCCTAGGCAACGCTAGTTAACATGCTGCATAGCACAAAAGCTAAATATAGACATTTTGGAATATTTTCCTCCCATTTAAGATTCCTCATCTGCTATGTTAGTTAATGTTACATAAACACTGTAATATATGAAGTCAAACATGTGCCTCCACAGTGATGTGTTAATGAATTGTGATAATTAAAAATGCCTAGCTCGACAGAAATCTAGCTTCCATGGATAAAGTAGAAACGATCGACAGTCTTCAAATGCAATCTGTTTGCAATTACCAAAATGAAATAATATATATTAGATTGGTATGGTTTTTAAATGACATTTTGAGCTTCCCAGGAAGTTTTTTTTTTACCCTTTCCCCAAGTTACTAAAAGCCTGAGGTCTATTAGTAAGTGCAACCCCCCACTTTCAAGCTAATTAAAGTGGTGGAAGCTTGGAGGTTTAATTCCCTAGAGCTGATGCTCAGTGTGAGAAAGGTAATTTGTCTGTCCAGAACAAAGATTAGGGAGCAGCCAGCAAGCATATTTAATAAATGAGCATCAAGTGTCCTCTACTATGGACACAGACAATACCAATTATGTAAGTACAAGGGAATTGCTGAGCGATATGTAAACTAGAAGATTCTCTGCAAGAGACAGAATAGCAAAACGTAATCTAACTCATACTTTATTTAAAAGTATAGGATCTGGAGCCAAGTAAATGCTCTGATCACAACCAATGAAAGGAATACTTATACTTCATACAAAGGGATGAGAAGAGCTGAGAAGAATGCTGTCACTATGAAGGAACTAGTGAAAGGTTCCTCAGCTGCAGAGTAATACAATCTGTACAGATAGAGATTTCTGCTATTAAATCCCATGAAGAACAACCCCACCCCCAGATGCATTGTCATATTCCCAGCCCCATAAAGTGGTTGTTCTGCTTCTAATATGGACACGGATTAAGTCATTTTTCAAGCATGGTTTAAAGACATGGAAAATCAGGGCTCAACAACAGCTTAATATGAACAGTATGCCTGCGTGTGATACAGGATGATCAAAAGAGTGGGCCAAGCAAGCCTCTTCCTCGGAAGCAATTGCTACTTGCAGCAATGCTACTAAAGGCATTCTACACAGAGCCCAAAAGCTAATATCAACTTAAAAAACAAGCAAACAAAAACCATGCGAGCGTCCGCAGAGATATGCTGCTTTGGTCTCTTTGCTGGATGGTATATGGCATCACTACCTTCTAGGAGATTTGGCAGCCTACTAGTGGCATCATGTTTCATACTGGAGCCAATTTATTAGACTCACCACTTGAGCAGTACTAACTCCTGACCATCAGGCAAGAAACTATGCTAACTAGGATGAAAGTAAGCTAATCTGCACAGTCAGACCCAACTCCATTAGTCTAATTCTAGAAACTACACAGCTTTTGGTCAAATGGGCAGCACAGAATATGGCCTGTTATGGTCAGTGGGCTGTTACATTGCTTTCCTCTTCATCTATTTAAGCAACAGCATTATGTTGGATATTTGCATGATCACAAAACAGAAACAGCCCCTGCTCCAAGGACTTACAAATAAGACACAAAAGTAAAAAAGAAATGACTATAGCCAAGAGGAGAGATAAAAAGATGGTACTATGAACACATCCAACAGTCCTCTTTATCAATAGTCTTCCACAGAACCAGTAGAACCAGCCCAAACTGACTACAGTAACTAAATTCTCAGAGTGAAGCATCTGCTAGCTTTAAAACATGCAGTAACAAAAAGACACAACCCTCCTGATTCCAAGACTCTGGAATTTTCAAAGTTCCAACATGAAAACTGGGTTTTGCTCATGGCACGACTACATCAGGCAACAGGCAAGAAGCCCTCTCTCTTTGTACAGCAGCCATCCAAGAGCCATCCACAGGGAACTTCCTCACATTTTTTTCCTTATCTCTTCATCCACTTCATAATATACTATAGTTAATGACCAGAGATAGAAGTGAGACCAGAGATCTGTGCTGCTATCTCCCTATGCACTGAGCTACAAGTAGGATACAGCAACTTTGTAATCCCTGCGTGGACCCGTTTTTATTTCCACTGTCCTCTGATCTTATGTCCACTGCCGCTGTAACTGCCACATCCGTACTTTTGTTTAGCAAAACACAGATTAGAATTAAACCCCCTGGGCATATCAAACGAAAACATAAAAGACAAAGAGACCAAACTCAGAAGGTGAGCATCTGGTTTCCAAACCATATTTAGAGAAGGTGGCCATCCTAAACTCACTTACATGGAAATAAGGACTACTGAACTGAATGGAATTTCTTATCAATATGCACAGGATCAAGTCACAGGCGCTACTATATGGTTGGTCACTATTTAGTAAATGGAAATTCTCAACAGAAGACTTGATTGTAGCAATGCACCACTATTCACATGGCTATTCATGTTTTCCGAAATACATTTTGCCCTCTAAATGCAGACAACATCTAGACTCTTCCAGATGCTGCGAACTGAACAAGCTGCCCAAGGGATTTTTAAAAAGACTTTTGTCTTTACAATTTCTGCTAACAGATAAATGTTATTTTTTGCTACCCTTAGAACAGACATTAATGAAGTTCCTATTGTAAATCCATAAAGAATTACCAAGTGAAGTGTGCACTTTGTTTCAATGCAATAACTCAGTGCTGTGTGATTGCTTGGGTTAATGATGAAAAAGTCAAATATACTATCAGAGCTGATGGAAAAATCCATCACCAATCTGAAATTAAAATTCATCTGTGGTCAATAAGATTTAATATCCATGCAAGTGGTGCTGTAAAGAGTAAATGAATCAATGTCATCAATACATAATCAGTATGAAATATGATGCGAATAAAATTATGTGCAAGACTTGTGCATTCAGTGTTTTCAGGACCAGTGCAGAATGAAAACTCCCTTAACTGAAGGTTGACAGTAATTATTATAAATTAGGCATAGCAGTTATAAAAATGCACTCACTTGCATAGCTATGGGTCTTAGAGAGACTAAAATAGATCTAATACACTGTCCAGTTCTAGCAGAAGTACGAGACAATTGTTGATCAGAATTGCTTCCTAGTCTACTACTCTGAAAAGGCCACATTACAACTTTAGCACCAATAGCCAAGACAAACATACATGATCAAACGGAGCCAAAAGGAACTGAAATAATTCCTTGAAACCAAGCCAACTCATTCAAACCCATATCCAATAAGGTTAAGTATGTCTGTAATGCTACTGCAATCATTCTTTAAGCCACTATCATATAGTTACATTACTTCAGTCCAAGATGCTACATTTTTGCCTAAGAGACTCCATCTGCCCCCCACAATAGCCTCGTCTCTTCCATTCCAAAATGATATGATAAAAAATTTCTGTCGCAATAAATACAGCTTGCCTAAGAGTCACTTTACAACTCAAGCACTTCCAAGTTTAGAGCCATATCCTGTTACCTACATTCAGTGAAGTTCAAAAAGATGTCCAGTATTAGGCAGAACAGAAATTAATCTTGATTTAGCTCTAATAAGGCCTATTAGCAATTGTTCAGTATTCACCTTCTGGTCTGGCAGTAGTGGATTGCTCTGAAGTGAATTCAAATGGCCATTGATGAGAGCTGTAGGTCTATCATGTTCACAGAATAAACTGCCATTGATGTAGTGAAACCTGTCTCCGGGGACCAGGCGGTTCCGGCAGGTGGAGCACGTAAAACACTGAAAACACATGAAGAAAAGAAAAATTAAAACCTGGACAGTTACAATCCTAAGTGCCAAAGCATTACAGTTTGAGTTTACAGCAAGGTTAAAGAGACAGATTTATTCTGCATTTTCCACTATGTCCAAATACAGGATGTTGTACCTTTGGAACTCAGTTTAGGGTTCAAATGCACAGTGCCGTTAATCACTAAGAGGACACAAATATATATCGCAGAAAGGCTTTTCATTTACAACCAACAACCAAGAATATTTCTCAATTCACAGCAGTTTCAGATTACAGTCCAATGCTGGTCCATGCAGAGGAACAACATTGAGGAAGAGGAGTGTCAGAAAGAGAAGTTCTCCTACCTTAAGATGATAGACATTCCCTTGTGCCCGCATAACCAGCTCACTAGCTGGAATTGACTGCCCACAAGCACTGCAAGCACCGCTATTTCCAAATAACCTGAAAACAAAGAGAAATACTTATGGTTTCATATGCGAGACACTTGTGGCTAATTAAGGTGGCAGTTTAAACGTCTAAAATCCTCCTCTGAAATTTCTTTTATGTACTATGGGATGTGGCCATTTTAAAACAAACGTATGCAGAGCAGCCACAGAATCATCCCATACTTCTCAAAAAATGGAGTACCCACAGGATGTAATAAAAAACTGACTTGCATCCAGCAGCACAAACCAATTCTGTACAATACTTTTTATCAGATTACTGGGTTTGTCATAAAAAAAGGACAGAATTCATGACTGGAGTTTAAATGCATTGTGCCCTTGAAATTATATGAAGAACTTTTTTTGTACTTTAATCATATCTTGAGAGATGAGTCATCAAAAGGGTTAAGAGGATTTGATTGTATATCTAAGACGACATCATGCTCAGTGTATTGAAACTCCAGTAAACCTCCATCAGAGCAGAGTTTCCATTAGAAACTCTCGGCTATCCAGGTTGATATATAATGTGTATGGGTTAACCTTTTCAATCATGGTGTCAACACTTTAGATTTGCCTCTGCTCATCTCTTTCATCCTAACCTTCTCTCTCTCTCTCTTGATAATGAAATGCTTGCTCCAACTTCCCTCTATCTGCTCCTGAGTCCACAATTTAGATTACTTCATCTCTGCTAGCAACAAACTGAATGAAATTTCGATTTGAGCAGAAAGTAATTTACCGGGATCTGGACCCATTTGTCATCATATCTCTCTGGGTGTTTGCTGTATCACTGCAGTTTTCCTATGCAATCAAATGAGACCACAACATCTGCCATGGGGGGAGGCAGGAGAGAGGAGAAGCAAAGGAGGAGGGAGGGAGAAGAGAGGACTGGAGGAAATATATACACATAATTCTCCTAATGCATTTAAAGGCACAACACACTGATCTGAGGTATAATGCTTTAATGAATATTGATCTCCCAGTTTTACACAAGGTGTTTGTTAGAATTAAAAAGGCACCCCCTCCCTGCAACCTCCTCTTCACATCCACAGCTATTTATAATGATAAACCTACAACCATTTCATAGTAAAGAAGGATTCTGAATCAGCCGGCAGGATCACACAGATCCACTTCCCCCAATATGGCATAGCCAAAGCAAAATGGCTAAATATTTAGGATTGGTACTGGCCTCTTTGTCTGAAACAGAAGTTGTAAGAATGTGTGTGAGAGTCTGGAGGATGTGTTACCACAGAAAATGCTGTAATCTGAATGTTTGCTGCAAGCCCATGTTTTAAAGAGGGGGGGAATAATTGCTTTGAGTTTTCCAGAATCAGTGCTTGCAGAGGGAGGCTTGTCATGTTCAAACTACTAATTTGCTGTCGCCACTTTATTGAAAATAGCCTGTAAGTTGTTATTAAATGTATCGACTGAACGACAGGGAGAGTAGTAAAACTGCCCCTTAAGATGGCTTTTAATAGGAAGCCTGAGAAACAAATTTTGCAGCAGCATCGATTTGAAGAGTTCAATCAAAACTCCATTTCAAAACTAATTAGTCTGAGATCCGCAACACACTGACACTTTCCTGCGAGTCAGAATGGGTACAAAGGGAAAGCTGAACTAATACACTGCCAAGACCTCCAGCCTAAAAAGGACTGAGCTGTCTAGAAAACTGTGAAGCGACACCATTCTAGTATCTGCTCAATCAGGAGGATTGAGCTTCAAAGCATTTACAAAAGTATTTATACAAAAAACTACTGTGACTGCGTCCCAATCCAAATGTGTATTATTTCCCAAGCTCAGTTATTATCAATGGCTATGGTTTATATGGACGTAAAGAAACTTCAGGCGGGGCTTCTCTGGCTACAGTTCTATAAAGGGACTCAAAGTGGCAACAAAAACATTACAACTGATTGCTAAGTATGGAAGGTCTCATAACTGAAATGAATGAACAAATGCTCCTTTATCATGCATGTGTATGTACATACATCCTTTCAGAAAAGGTGGGGAAGGAGTCAAGCATCCTAGTGTAGAAGAAGATGGGAGTTAAGGTGCACAGCTCCATCTTTCCTTAAAACATTCCTATTTTATTTTGCCACTTCCTTTCAAGACAGCCTCAAGCAGAGGCTGCTGTGCACCTCGAATCTCAGTTAAAGAGGATTTCTAATAACCGCTGAAGTCTAAACTGCAATAGAAACAGAAACATATTACACAACTCCTTGATTCTGTATCCATTCAGATTTCTAAAAGACAGGATACAGTAGGAGTGGGGGGAGGGATGTTCTACAGATCTTCAGTACTTTGCGAAGTTAGGCAACTCCTACAGCAGATGTCCAAACTTCATATATTACTTTAAAAAAATAAATAATCTAATTTGACTTTCCCTCCTTCTCCCAAGGATGGGAACATTCTTATTTTGTGACAGCTTCAAAAGAAACTTCTTTCTCTGGACAACACTGTTTGACTAAAGAAGAGGCCAATCCCAGTTAACTATGTTCTTACTGAAAAGTTGTTTTTACATGGGTTCTGCAAGGGAGGAGAGTTAATTAGCTAATCAAGGAGACTGTCCAGGACAGTATTTAATTTAAAAGGCTGGAGGCTTTAGGTGCTCAATTAAGTAGCTATCGGTCGCAGACTGGACTTTAATGGGCTCTTTTCTCTTTAGCTCCAGCAAAGGGGGAGAGATACCCCAGGTCAGGCTAATTAAAGCCAGGGGACTCTTTAATTGTGATGACAGAAGTGGTTTCAGTTTCCTCTCTTTGGGTCTTGGAGTCCAAGGAGGTTGTTAATATTTCAACATTTGGGCAACACAATCAATCACCAACCCTGAGATGTTCCATATAAGGATGAAAGGAAAGGCTCTACAATTTGTAGCATGATGCTGTAGCACGCTAAATTACTCACAGCACTGTTTCCAATATTTGCCCCCCTTCCCACTCCCCCACATACAACTTGTCAGAATATTAAAGGGCAGTGAAGGTGAGATGGACAAGGACACCAGTGTGTGCAAAAATTCAACAGGAACACTTTTAAAACTGTAAAAACATAATATTAAAAAGAAAGAAAAATATGGGGCTGTTGCAATACTTGTAAGAAACTGAATAGCCAGCCTCTAAATTCCATTCTCTTCCATGTACAGGGATGGGGGGGGGGGAGTACAAATCTCACACTAGTACCCAAACACACCCAGACTTCCTATCCAACACAACTGATCCAGAAGAGATTGGTTTTCTAGCAGATTTCCTATTTTGGATCTAAGTTCTGCACCAGCTGTATCAGATACAACAAAGGCTACACAGGAAAATTATGCCTGGAGCCAAGTCCATTAAAGTTACTTCAGCATAACTACAGCCCAAGCACCTTAAAAGCACCAGAAGCTATTGATACTTGAAAGGGGGAGGAGGGTGGCTGTGGAAGTGCTGCATTAGAGAAGGGGGAAGAGGAAAAAAAAATATCAGCCAAATTACGCTTGGTTAATTCAGAGTAACAGATCTGCCCCCAAGTGAATTGGAGGCCTTGAATTAATTCTGTTATGACAAATCAAGATAAACGTTCCCCCTAAATTGCATGCGATTTAATTAATTTTTGAGATCCTGGATTTTTTTTCCAAGCTAATAGTTCACATGCTCCTGTGCTGTCATTGTGCTTGAGTGGGCAGACTTCAAAGTGATATTAAATAACCAACTATTAGATTTACCTAGCACGTCCTATTGGAAAAATGCCATTTAATTACCTAGCCTGTTCAATTAAAGGGACAGCATTCCCTGAATATAGCAGCTTGCTGTTGATTACCAGAAAAATGAACTCGTTGCCTGGCGGCACCCTCCCCTCCTCAAATGGCTCATACTGCGGACAGCCACGTGAATGGCAATGAGCAACAAGGAGAAAGGAGAGCATCTTCTGCATGTTGGAATGGGGATCAAGTCCCTGCCCTGGCATGTCAAACACAGGACCACAAGCATTAGAGAGATGAGGGGGGAGGCTCTAAGCAAATGCTCTATTCCACCCACAATCCAGACTATTGAGTCCGGATATTAAAAAAACACCCCACAGCCATCCCCCCAAAAGTAGATTCTAGCTAAGGCATAAGAATGCATCATACCGAATACAGACTTGTATGGAAAAAAGTCCTCAGACACTAGCCCTTTAAGAAAAGCTAGTTTACATTCCCTCTCTACCCCCCCCAAGCCTATTCTCTGTCTCTTCCTCTCCAAGGCCAATTTTGTTAATTAAATGTTTTGTTTGCAACACAGCTCTCATTCATTTCGGACACGTCATTCCAGGCAGATCTAAACCAGGGACGAGATCTCATTAGATAAAACCTATCAGAACTAAGAGAAAATGGAGGAGACACTAATTAAAGCTCTTAATTGTGCAGATTCACTGCCACGCTGCTGCTTTATCTGAAATCTCATGGCTGGAAGGACTGCCTATCACCCTCCTCCTCCATTCTGAAAAATGCCTTTTGCTTAAGGTACTCAGGTTAGGGGTAAGGGGCCAGAGAAAAGTCAATGATTTTAATCTCCTTACATAGACACTCACACACAGACCCCTCAGCTGCCAATGAGACCAGCTGCAGTATATAGCCAGATTGGGTAAGGCTTGTTCTGCAAAGCTCCACCTCAGCATCAGACAGTTTAAAAGCTCCTTAACAGAACTGGTCTGTGGTCTAACACAGGCTTGGATCAGCCAGACCCTTTCACCTCAGAGAGGGTGATCAGTTTTCCTCTCAGGGGTATTCTACATGAGCCGCGGTGGCACCTATGAAATCTCCAGGAGGAATGTAAATATAATTACAACTTGGGAAGAGTTTTCTCTAGGCACCTTCCCCAAACCACTCCTGATAAAAACTGCAGAAGGCTGCTAAATTGGTAGTATCTTGCATGTCTGTCAGTAGGCTAGGACATACAATTAGTGATGCCTGAGAGTCATCAGAGTCATAGATGGAGTTTACACAGTTAGGTCCATCATCTTGCATCCTAAGGAACAGACTAGCTTCTAGAAGTTCATACCTTGACATAAGTGTCTTCAATTATCCTGGTAAGCTGCTTAGTTCTAGAAAAAAGGCCAGGCAATGGAACCACATCAGTTCCAATTTACCATCTGATAAGGAACCCTATTTATAATAGCCTACATAAAAAACGTGCCAAGTTCACACAAAAACCAGAGGCAGAGATTCCAATAATCTGGCCTGAACTTGCCTTAGGGGGTACAGTAGACAACTTCTCTTTTTAATTAATAGTGATCAGAAGAGGTTTGTTAGATGGTTTTAGTAGAGAGACAAAATCTGTACTGTTACAGAATCTGAACAGTAGTGTCAATTTTTCCACTTCAAACAAACCCCTTTTTCTAACCGTTCTGCTCTATTTAATTAGAATTCTGCCTTGCCTGTGCAGTTGCTTCAGACAGGGGATCAAGAACACATCACTGTAAGCCTGAACATACTGATTTTCTAGAATTTACTTTTTCAAAAATCCGAACACTTAGCAAAATTAATATCGCTTAAAATCCCTTAAACCCTTTCTATAGCTATTTTGCTCCTGTGGCCTATTTAGTTGATTGAAAGTACCATCATCAAGCAGGGTAAATGATACATTAGAATGAGCAAACAACTTTTGCGGCCATCCTTTCAAAAGTAAGAACGGACTAACTAGCGCTATAGCCAGTTATTCCACAAATTCACACACACAAAAAGCCCAACTTTCTTTTCTCTTTTCAGAACAAGGATACTTTTTCAAATCTAACGTTAAATATAAAGATACAGGGTACCCAGGCAACGCCCTTTATACTTTTAATTCTCTTTTTTTTTCTATGCCAAAAATGTGGGAGGGGGACATTTAATTACTGGTTGCTCAACTAGAACACCTTCTCGAAGCATTCATGTGCATCAGTCTATCAAGCCATTTACTCAAATTAAATGCGTAATCCTTCAAAATGCCTCCTTAGTTTAAAAGAGCTTGAGTACACCTGAAAAGATCCAGCGGGCCCCAGACCTCTTAAGATTCTCTTCATTAGCTGCACCAAAAAACCCCGTATGACAGAGAAAATAAAGCCATACAAAATTTTACTCCGTGCAAAAGGGATGGAGATTAAGCCATTGTGATGCAATAGGAAATACTGAAAAATTCTGATGAACACTCACACCTCCTTTTTTACTTCTGCACAGAAAAAAGGAGCAAAAGTCAGCCAAAAGCTGCCCTTCAACAGCATGGAGAGCACACAGAACTTGGGGGGGGGGAGGCAGTTTCAGCTGGCCAGTAATTAATCAGTTCTTTCACAATGAGCTCAGAGAATGAGTCACTCCATTTTCACTGCTTATTATTTGCATAAGCACCTTCAAATCAGATACTAAAGAGGAAGATATTTCATTGTTTAGGCTTTGCACCACAGCCCCAGTGAAACCTGCACTTGCCCTTCTTCCTCTCAAAGCTCTACACCCTCCTTCTCCATCTATACAAGAGCCTTTGGTAGCCAGGAAGTCCCTTTTAGATCAGTACTACCTTAGAAGTTTCATTCACTCACACCTTCCCTTCAGGGCCACCTATCCAACTTGCCCAGCATACAACAGACAAGGAATCGTTTCAACACATTCTAGTTTCCAAACTACCACCTGCAGTAGTTTCTGACCCTTGTTCTCCCGTTTCGTGGGGGGAAATGGAATAGCAGCACACACAGACTCACATGCAAGCACACGTGTATTCCTTTCCATCTCACTCACCTGATGTAGTCATTTCTGCACAGGATCATGCCGCTCTTCGTGTAGCAGGATGTACCAATTTCTCCCAGCTGGGCCTGGCAGCAGGAGCATTTCAGGCACCGGCTATGCCAATAGCCATCCATGGCATAGAGCAAGAAGCGATCGGCAATCTTCCCCCCGCAGCCGGCACATCTTTTCCACGAGAGGGAGCCACTGGTGACCGGGGGAGGCTGTGAGCTGCTGCCTGGGTTCACCATGGTCTGAATAAGAAAAACAGAAAGAGGGTTAACATTTAGTACAGGACCCTCTCCCTTCTCTTTCTACAGTAGTCCTATGTAGAGGAGGGGAGGAAAGCCTGGGAGAGCATCTACTTGTTTACTTTTCAGGCTCTTTGTTCTGAGTTAATTAGCCACCTCCCCTCTCAAGCTCATGAGTGGGGCCCAATGACAGTGTCAGCTTGCAATATTGCGCTGTCAAACTTGGAGGGCCCCCCCTTCCGCTTTGTTTGCTGACACAAAAGTACACACACCTGGAGTCTTGCAGTCTACACGGCCCTCCGAATATAAATTGTGGGCCCCACAATGCTAAAAAGGGAAGAAAAGATTCCTGGGTGAAGCCATGTTCCCCAACCACAAGTCTTGGGAAGCCCAGCTGCAACTCACAAGCTGGGAACAGTTTAAGGGATTTAGTTTTCTTTTACAGGAGAGGTTCTGGAGAGAGAGGAACAGAGAGCTGTGGCTCGGGCACAGGGAGGGGGGGGGAACCCCTAAAAGTTGTGAAACTGGTTTTTCAAGCTCTTTTTCATGCCATTGTTATCTACAGGAGCCCCAACCATGACTGTCCCCATTTTTTAAAGAAAGAGATCAAATGAAGTACTCCCCCCCTACACTTTACAGAATAATAATAGATCACTGAACTTCAAGAAGCCTGTTAACTTCCTATACAAACACAATCTACTTTTGTCTCACTAATCTGCCCTTGATCAGCAATTTAAATGCTAAGCGCTTTGTTGTCCTAAAAAACAGCTAGAGAAGAAAGCAAAAAGTTTGTGATAAAAGAGTTACAGAACAACCAAGTGTGCCCCACTCAGGAAGCAACTAGCATGGCTGCCTTTAAGACGGCTGTTTAAAACACACACAGCACAAAACTGGAAATGTGTTTCTCACTTTCCAAAAAATGATTTATATAAGCAAGGCAACGGGGAGATTAATATTGGGACCAATTCATAAAGCTGACTACAACCAATTTGCTCTACCGCCAATCCAGAATCCAACAGACTGGTGCCCCTTCAATCACTCCCACTATAAAAAGACCTAGTTATTTACTGCCAATTAGTGGCATGTTTTTGCCTTTGTCCTTCTAAACTGCATGTCTCCAACCTAAGGCATCTGGCTACTTGCTAAAACTCATACCTCTAAATAGAGAGGGGACAAACTTTTCCCCTTGTCACTTGCCTAACTTGGTTACAACAGCAGTACCAAGTTCCTTAAAATAGGCCAATGGGGGGGGGGGTTTAAGAAAAAGAAAAGAAAACAGGATTTCCTCCAAAATAACTCCTGATCATATGTTCAGTTGACCACAAAATAAACCAGACTGCAAACGGCACCAATTAAGGCTGTAACTAAAAACCCTGAGACTTGGGAAAGAGAAACCACTCTAAAAGCCATTAGCATTGCATTTCTCTGAATGCATCATATACCTTTATGTAAATTGATTTCTGATGCATTTAACTCACGGAATGGCCTTTTGTTACCGTTTCCAGCACTATGAATCTGCATTTCTTTAGCGTGTTTTTTCATTTTAAAAAAACCCACCAGATTTCAAATTATGTAAATCCATTTCAGATCTTTTACAAGCCCAACTTAAAAAAAAAAACCATCGTCTTAACCCGTAGCCTTTGTTGAAAGGTAAATATTATATATAAGGAAACGTTACCCTGACAGAAGCATCCAGTAACCCCATTAAGCTAAAGCTCTTAAGGACAAGCAATACCTTAATGCTGATTAAATCTAAAAGAGATGAATCAAGAGGACTGACCAGAAAGTGACTCCCTTGATAACCAAGGACGGGCCCTCATCAAGTTTCATTCGGAGTTTGGGGGTGGAGGGGGGAGAGAGAAGGAAAGCTTTTAACTTAAATAGGCTTACTCTGGTAATTACACAGCCAAGCAATTTAGGCCCTGGAACAGAGGCAATGAAACAGAAAGGAGAGAGCTGGCAGCTAGAGGCAAAACACACACCCCCTCCCTCTTTTTAACAACGTCTCTGGTGATTTTAATGGAGACCAAGGGTAGAGCTTGCAATTTGTAGTAGAAAAAAAAATGGATGCTTAATTCACGGCTTGGTTTTAATGAGGTTGATTCATCAGATTTCCCCTGGACACAAAAAAAAGAGAGGGGGGGGGAAGAACAGAGAAAACCGCTCACTTAAGATTTCCCCTCCCCTAGCCTGCCACTGTTTCAAAATAGTGTTTACTACAAAGAAAAGTGGGCGACCCCCGCCACGGCCACGAAAAAAAACCCCGGGGGGGGGGGGCGCAGAAGCAGCTCGGGGCAGGCAGCCTTTTGTGGGGCCCCGCTGCTGCGGACGGCCCCGCCACCGCTCGGCGACCAGGGGTTACGGGGCAAGCCTCGCTTCTCCGCGGCGCTGCATCGTGTTTACTTCCAATCCCGGACGACCAGGGGCGACACCAGAAGCGACCTGCCAAGCTATCATGGGGCAAAACAGAAGGGGGGGGGGAGGAAGGAGTCCCCGGGCTTACCTGTTTCCCCTCTATGGTGCAAGAGGCCGTGGCTAACGTGGCTGTGGGGTCTGGGGAGCGACCGGGAGGAGGAAAAAGGCTTTCGTGCACGGCAATTTTTTCTCAACAAATAACAAAAAGAAAGAAAGAAAGCCAGCCCAACGCGCTCGCTGGACGGCGGCGGCGGAACCTTCAACCCCAAGAAAGAACAAGCTGCCCGGCTAGGAGGATGAGAAAGCTGCCCGCGAAACGTCTGGCTCAGTCCTTCCTTCCTTCTTTCTTTCCCTTCCTCCTCCTCCTGCCGCTGCCGCCGCCGCCGCTTCCCCTCGAGGGGAGCTGCAGAGCTCAGTCGCTGCTACTGCTCGGGCTGCAAAGGCGAGGGCTGCTGCTGCTGCAATCGCTGGCTTAAGTTTTGGCAGATGTGGCCGCACTTTGTCGCTCTCCTCTCCGCCGCCGAAGCCTCCACCCTTGCGGGCTTCCCGAGGCTGCTGCCTACAAACAAGTCCAAGAGGAGGGGAAAGTCCCCTCTGCTGGAGGAAGGGGAAGCCGGAGCGGCGGCAGAGACGGCCGAGGAACTGCGGAGGTGCTGGCGGTGGCAGGACACGCAGGGAGGCCCCTCTCGCTGGTGCCCTCCGTGGCTCTCTGCCTCGCTCTCCCCCATGTGTTACTGACAGAGCAAAATCCCAACGACTCCGCCGCTCAGCCCCTTACGTCACGGCGCCTCGCCCAATCCGCCTGCAGTTTGTTCAGGCGGAATAATAAAACCTGCCAATCCCAAGGAAGACAAAGGAAGGGGCGGGGAGAGCGCGGGGCTCGGTGGACTCAGGTGGGACGCGACAGAGGCTGGAGTGGGTGACCGGGGGCTGCCGGGGCTTGGGGCCGCGCTGCTCTTCCTCTGGCCTCGCTGATTGCAGGAGCCGAGGAAAGTGCAGCTAGTGGTGTTAAAGGCCGGGCTCCTCCGCGTACTTCTTCGGGAGGAAGCCCTAGGGGACTCAGTGGGACTTATTCCATAGGGTCGGGCGGCAAACATTACAGGGCAACATTGGGGTTTCTTCCGAGTAGAGGTGAATAAAATCAGGCTGTACATTTACTTGGGATTCAGCTTGTTGAACTCGGTAGGGCGTGCTTCTGCGGAAGTGTGTCTAGTTTCCGAGTGCGCCTGAAACTTTTAGATAAGAATCATTCAGAGACTCATGGGGGGCCGTTTTGTATAGGAACGCTTACTGGGGAGTGAGCCGTGTTGAACGTTTTGCGAGTTGTTTCTTTCAGCTTTCATGCGTCGGATTGCTGTCAGAGGCTTGTTCGATAGGTTGGTATTATTATGGATTTGCTGGAAGCATCTTGTGTGCTCCCCCCCCCCCCCGCCCGCTGTCCAACATAACCGAGGTAATGTAGCAGGATAAAGGATTCTTTATAGTTCTTATCTCTGTTATCCTCACAAGCACCCTGCGGGGGACATGATGCTGAAGGATGCAGGTTTAACTGGAAATTCAGATATTTGAATCCAAGTCCAAATTTGGCATGTTTTCCTCCAAACTAAGTAGTTTGATTTGTTTTTGTTTTTTTAAATTAAAAAGATGGTCTGGAGTCTTAATAGGTGTTAGGTTATGTTGTGGAGGCCAAATATTGCTGCACTATAATAAGGCCCCACTTTTCAGTTATCCTTCCTTGACTCTAGGCTTAAGCCACCTGTTGTACCACTACCAGGTGGAGGAGTGGGTGCTTTTGTATCAAGTATGCTGATTCAAGATAGTTTCCACAAGCCAGCAACTACTTCACTGTTCCCTGGACTGGTTTTGGGTTGTCTAACCAGACTAGTGTTGGGGGCACAATGAAAAGGAGCAATTGTTGTCCTCAAACCCAGGTCTTTTTGTTAATATCTTGTGTTCTGGTTTAACCATTTCTACTTCTTACTTTATAGAGCTATAGCAGAGATGCAAGAAGCTGCCATGTTGGGAACTTCATCTAGATGGAGTGATGGCTACTTTGTAAGCTGAGTCAAGGATAGGAAACCAAGGTTTTTAATAATTTATTTTACTTCAGTTCTATGCAGAATGTCCTGTGCTCAAGTGAGTGTGTTAATTGCCACATTCATACTACAGCTGTATGAGTGGATCTGCTTTCCCACTCTTTTCTTAAAACTAAAAAGGAAATAGCCAAAACGTTCACCACTTTCTGCCTGCACTGAATCACTAGGCAAGCCACGTTGGTTCCATCAAAGCTGTATGAAGACTTACTGTTTCCTTGTTATGACTACCTACTCTGGATTAGAAGCATTCTGGGAAGAAGATATTACCAGCTGTATATATTAGATGGTGCCTAGCATAATATTGGTGTTAAATAATACTATAAAAATACTTAGGACAATTTTAACCAACTTGTTTAAAAGTATTTGATGTTTTATATTCTGCAATGCATTTCCCTTTAAACTGCACTTTCCAGCATCACAGGCTAATCCAGTGGCCACTTGAGTAGATGTCTAACTTTCTATTCATGGTCAAGGCTCTGTGCCTTTAACAGTTGTGCAAAAGGCATACATTCAGTAGTTCCACCATTTCCCAGCATAAAGACGGGAGGGAAAGTCAAACCTGTCAAAACTGTCTCCTGTACTGGACACAAAAGGGGAAGTCCTGGATCTTGGGCAGAAGTCTCTCCCAACTTTACTGCCCTTCTATATAGCCTTGCCAACAGATGTGCCAAAGTTACTAGCTAACAAAATGTTTTATTAGCCCACATATTCACAGTCATTGGCGGCATAAAAGAAACAGCTTTTATAAAACTTCGGAAGCTCATTTTGAGTCACCACAGGTGACCAGATAAGAGGCTAATTTGACTGTGAAAGCGTGAGGAGGCAAGGCCTGAACAAATCTCAGTCATAAAACTCCAAGAGTGTCTTTCTCTGTGGCCACTCACCCCTCCCACTCAGGGTTTTGTTAATTGTATTTAGAGCTGCTTCTCTAGACCACTTTATTGATAATGAATAAGTATTACTCTTTCCATTGAAGAGGGTGCAGATCATCAAGGCAGCAATCCTCAAACCACTTACTCCAGGGCAGGCTGGTTGAGGTCACTGGAGTAGGACTACTCCAGAGTGCAGCTGGGGATATTAACACTGATTATGTTGATATTTAGGTATTGCAGGGTCAGGCTTCATCTGGCTTTTTTTCCTCAGGATTTTCAGAGAGCACTTGGGACTCAGTCCTCTGCTCATACACTTACCACTTCACCAACTCCTCGTGTGGTGCACTTCTTAGGACAAAATTTGATCCTTTGATTGAAAGAGTTTTTTTAAAAAATTGTGAGCTGCCGTCCCACTCATCATAGCAGTGGCCATTGATTTTTAAGTACTCCTTCTTGAAATCAATGGGGAGTTCAGCTTAAAAATTAATGCTACTGTAACTCAGTGTTATTAATACCCCATAAAATTTTTAAAGAGGAATATGTTTTACGTTTGGCTGGCAGTTAACAGCGCATTGTGCCATTTAAAAAGGCAATACCATAGTTCTTTAAAACAAACAACTGAGCAAACTTGAACAGAATGAGGGCCCGTTAAAGGAATTAAATATCCATAGTGTAAAATTCTAATGGAAAAATGAAATATTAATTCCATGCACAGGACAGTTAGAGGCCTATGCATAGCAAAAGTTATAGGCAAGCATCCTCAAAAGATGAGGGGAAAAATTGGCAGAGGGAACTTTGGGTATACACAATGCTGTTTTTTCATGTTGCAGATAATAGGAGTCTTGTCAGATTAATGGTCTGCCCTGTGGGTTCCTATTTCATGGTATATCCCTCACACAAAAGAGACATTGAAATGTATATCGGCTTTAAAGACAATTGAAGAATTAGGTAATAGTTGAAGGTTACAGAGTTTTCCAGTTTAATATAGGCGGTTGTTAATTTCCAAGGAGAGAGAAGTGCTGAGGATGAAACCTGGAACACTGTACTTTAGGAAGGCTCAGTGGGCAAATTCCTGCCCCCATCCCATGTTCCAGACAATATATGATTATTCCTGTATTTTTAGTCAGCTCACATGTTCTACACAATGAGAACATGTACTTTATACTAGATATGCATACAAACCCCCTCTTTTAAAAAAGAAAATTGTATTATTTGTATTAGATTGATGTAGTCACTATGAATGATAGTGTTGTTGTTTTTGCCATAACGGTGTTGTTGTTTTTGCCATTTAATTTTAATACATCCTAGAATGAGCCTTTGAAGATTGCTAAGTATCTTGTCCAGTTCATGAATATATAAAGTAGCACCTTGGCTGACGTTTGCCTGAAAGCCTCTCATAATTTAACTTAAAAGCATCCTAGAAGATGGTGGCTAATAAACAATGAAGAAGACAGGACATGCGGTCAAGGCTACTCTTAAATAGTTCTTCACATGTTCTGTGACTGAGCCCTGCATCAAACAAATTTTACCAGTGAAATATTTACAATTATCTCAGACATAGATAAAATACATGTATAGGGCAGGATAATTTTATCTTTTTCCAAGGAATCTTGGGAAGGCTCCTATGTGTTATCTTCACAAGACAAGTTAAACTGAGAGAAAGAGAGTGGGTCCATGGTGGCCCGGTGAGCTTTATGTAGGGTTCCAAACGCTGGTCTCCCCAGGCCTAGTCCAGCATTCTAATCCATACAGCTTACTGAAACACACTTGCACTTTTTCTCTGTAGACAGATCCCTCAGACAGTATACTCATGTGCTTCTTTACACTGCCTTTTCAGAGAACCCTGTCCAAGATGGCATACAATGAAACCAGAATAAGATTTAATAAAAGCCAAACCATAAATCATAGAAGTCATATGAGAACCAAAGTACACATAAGGGTGGCCAAGCTATGGCATGATGTTTTCAAACATGATGCTGTCCATTCCCATCACAGAGGCCCACTGGAGAAAATTGGCTTAAAAAGCCATTGGGCAGGGGGAAAGAGAGGGAAAAGATCTCGCCCACCCCAAATTAAAGGAATTTGGCAGCAACCTGATCCTAAAACATCCAGGTCTGTGATTGCCATGTCTGGTGCTGTTCAGCAGAGCCTTTTTGCCTGTGCAAATTATAGCGTGAACAGAAGAAGGCATCTAAGATACAAAAGGAGGGTGGTCCTTAGGATCATGGTGGGAAGCCCAGAGAGAGTGGATTGACCTCCTCATATTGCAGAAACAAGCTTTGGCTAGCTAGAACCACTTCCACATCTCAATAAATCAAAGCCACAACAGATTCTTTAAGCTCATGTTGTGTCAATAGAAAACAGTTGCCAATTGCTCTAAACAAGGGAATGGCAGGGATCTGTGCAGAAGTGTGTTCAGAGGCACTCAGGTGCGCGCCCCTAGCCGACACACACAATTTGCCTGGGCATTATAAAGAGACAACTGCACTTGCCTGTCTCAGTATCTGCCCCGAGCAGCTCCAGTGCTGGTCTGACATGACATATGAAGGTGATTAAGAGTGTGGAATGACTGTGCAGTTTGGGACCGGCTACAAGGCTGGGTGGATACTGAAGGCAGCAAAGTATGTTCTAAAGCTGTGGCTGTAAAAGCAACCTGTAAAGTAATGTGTTAACATATGTGAGCAGGAAGATTTTAGCTAGTGATAGTTCTTTACAGATGATGATGTGAAGACTAGCTTTGATAGTTCTT